TCGATGCACTCGCGTCGACCCGAAACCTTGAAGATTGACATCTACAAGTATATGGGAGTCGAAGAGGACTCCGTCTTGAGATGGTTCGTCGAATTGGATGACGCCATAAGGGCGCGTCGCATCGACGACGGGGATATGCAAGTTGCATTTGCCCAGTCAAATCTAGCAGGACGTGCCAAGACTTGGGCACTGGGGCTCGAGTTGCACGACCCATATGCGTTTGGGTCGTTGGAAGTCTTCAAGTCGCGGCTCAGACAAACGTTTGAACCGCCTAGAGCTGAGTTCAGAGCTCGAACCGAACTCTTGAAGCTCAATCAGGGTAAGCGTGATGTGCACGCTTACGCGCAACATATACGACATCTCACGAGTTGTATAAGTTCCAATCCGGTGGATGAACACACGTTGGTTTTGGTGTTCATGCAGGGTCTTACGGATGGTCCCGTCAAGACTCACCTGTTCCGACTTGAACTAGATTCACTAGAACAAGCCATTTCCATTGCGGAACAGGAAGACTTCAGTCTGAGACAGGCTCGCACCAGCTCGACATCATATCGTCAACCGAGACGATATGACAGCGGAGGTCCAGAGCCGATGGAACTCTGTTATGTAGAGAGCGAGAAGGCTAGCTCTACAGACTACAAGAAGTTGCGGAAATGCAACAGATGTCAGAAGACAGGACACTACGCTTACGAGTGTAGTGCCCCTCGTCCAGTGTCTCGCGACACTGGGCGTAGTGACCGTCCACCCATGAGAAAGGGGCAGGGACGCGGGTCCGCTGTTGGCGCAAAGACGCAACAACGGGATGGACCGTCAAAAAACGAACAGGATCAGTAGGTGCGGAGCACCCTACTGGTCCAGCAACGTCAAGAGAATTTGTAGGCCTCTTGATGAAAGTTGCTCCTAACACACAAACGTTGTGCGTTGCTGCACTAGGTAATGAGATCTCACTCATTACCTTGAAACTCGAAGTGACGAACAAGTTGTCCCTTCGAGCTCTAGTCGATTGTGGGGCGTCCAACAATTTTGTGCGACGCCAATCGTTAGAAGATGGTCACTTTAAGTTCAGTGAATGTGACACACCTCCTACGAGGATGACGGTACGTCTTGCGACAGGCGCATCCGTAACCGTCATGAAGCGTATAGTGAATCTTCACTATACGCTAGAAGATACCCAATACGACGATGACTTTATCGTCTTGGATTTGGATGACAAATTTGATGTCATCCTTGGAATACCGTGGCTCAGAAGGTACGAACCACGGGTAAACTGGCAACATCGAACAGTAACGATGCCTGCCGCTTGTTCGTCAGATGGCCATCTGATGAACGTTTTGGAGCGTCCACAAGCGTGTGGATGTACTATGAGTGAGTGCGATGGCCTCACTTGTGGTACGGTCGTTAGTACGACTGCACAAAACCTTAGTTTAACAAACAGTTACTCATCGGAGCAAAGTTCCGGCGGCTGTGAGGAAACACAGGCTGCGCCGAAGGTCCGTCACTCGAATAAGTCGAGTGGACTGGGACAAAGATGTATCCCTAGCGGGGAACATCTAGAAGAGAAGCAATCGATCGCTCAGGTTAAGCGAAACGATAATCCTAGATCGACTGGAGAGTCTTTCGTAGAGGATCTCGCTGTGGTTGCGCAACCCCAGCTAGAGGAAGTTAGGGGAATAAGTCCCGATATTACAAATACGGCGGAAATGAGTTCCCCGAAACCCGCGGGAATAAGTCCCCCGGAAGCCGAAGGAATAAGTCCTTCGAGTCCTGAGGGAATAAGTCCCCAGAAAATGACAGAGACATTGAATGTCATAGTCAATGACAGATCAAGTGTAGGCGCTTATACACTTGATCTGATTGCGCCTCCGAAGTTGACTTCGGAGATCACTCAGTTGCCAACGCTCGAACATAAAAGGTTCTTGCGTGATCTGCGTAGTGGCAAAGTCAAGCAGATCTGCGTACTCGTCGATGACGACGCGTGTGTAACCGACATAAGGTCAGCAACAGTGTTCACTGAGAACGAGAGAATTCTCAGTAGTTCATCTATGGACGAGGGTGTCCTAGATGAAAAGACACGAATTGAGCGATATGACTCCCAATCATGGGAATCGCTCAAGACAAATCCTCTCTATGAAGATTTGGTTGAATTCAAGGATTTATTCCCTGAAACCGTTCCGTACGAATTACCGAAGGATAAAGGTATTCGACACGAGGTCGAGCTTAAACCAGTTGAAATACTGTGTCATGAAGCAGTGGCCACTGCCTCGTGAACAAGTACTTGCGATCGACAAGTTCTTTGCCGATCGTTTAGCTGCGGGCCATGTGAGGGAATTAACTTCCCCACATAGCTCTCCGACCTTCTGTGTGCGAAAAGCAGCAGGAGGGTGGCGGATAGTGCATGCATTTAACAAGTTGAATGCTGTAACGGTACCGGCTCAGACGCCGATACCGAGGAAGGACGTAATCATTGATGATATGTCAAAGAGTACCATCTTTTCGTCCATGGATTTGATGGATGGCTTCTATCAAATTCCTATGCGAGAACGGGATATACCCTATACCGCAGTGAGCACGCCTAGCGGCATGCTCTGGGAATGGCTAGTAATGCCACAAGGGCTTAGTAATGCCCCTGCCACGTTCAACAGATGTGTATCACATCTGTTGAGACCAGTACGAGAATTCGCGCCGAGTCATTGTGATGACATATTCATCCATAGTCGAGCTATGGATGGAAAGTCGGACGTTGAGGTTCACAGGTACCACGTCCGACAAGTTCTTACAATCATGCGAAAGCATCAATAGTATGCAAACCTCAAGAAGTGTATATTTGCAGCAAGCGAAATACCACTTCTTGGATGCATCGTTGGTAAGAACAGTGTACGTCCTGATACCGAAAAGATCAAGGCGATCACCGACTGGCATGTGCCAGTTTGTGTCAAAGGTGTATTTGCAAAAGTATTGACGCAGTTACGCCGAGATGTATGTAAACCTCTCTCGTTTGTTGAAAAAGAACGAGAGGTGGTTATGGAACGCTGAATGTCAGCGCTCGTCTGATGGTATCAAGCAGAGCTTGATGCAATCCCCAGTCCTAGCAATAGCCGATCAGGACAGGCCATTTCATGTGGTCTGTGATGCCAGAGATTTCGCAATCGGCTGTGCATTAATGCAGTACGACCTAGAAGGCGTTGAACGCGTCTTCTGCTATCAGTCGCGTCAGCTTCAACCAGCTGAGCGGAACTATCCAGTGCATGACAAGGAACTCCTTGCCATGAAGTATGCACTCGCGAAATTCAGAGTCTATCTATTAGGAGATAGACCCTTCATTGATTACACTGACCATGCGTCATTACGCACGGCAGTGAACAGCCCGCACCTTTCACAACGAATGGCGCGGTGGTTGTCATTCTTTGCAGAATACATCTTTACGATCGAGCACAAACCAGGACGACTCAATGTCGTCGCTGATGCACTCTCACGTCGTCCCGACTTTGAAACAGTCGTGAAACTCAACAGTGAGACAGCCACTGTTGCGGTTATGACATCCTCAGTCCCATCTACAACGTTGAATGATGATGTGAGGCGGGCATACGCCCAAGATGGTGAGATTGTGAAGTTGTTGGCACATCTCTCACAACCATCTCGAGAATTGTTGAAACGATTATCGTCTGCGTGTCAATCTGCATCAGATCGATACACTACTCGCAACGGGTTGCTGTATTGTACAGCCGTTTCTGGTTACACACCACGTGTTGTCATTCCAGATGATACTGATCTGCGTTTGCGGATCATGTTCGAGTATCACGATGCTCCTATAGGAGGACATCGTGGCCGGGAGAAAACATATCTCACGGTGAGTCGAGACTTTTACTGGCCCCGCCAGTATCAGTTTGTGCGAAAGTATGTTCGCGCATGCGAAGTCTGCCAACGAGTGAAGTCAAGTCCTTCACTGCGTGCACCTTTACAGCCTTCATCGGTTCCGGCTGAGTGCTGGGAATCCATCTCAATGGTTTTTTTCTTCGGGATACCGAAAGACGCACGCGGGAATACGGGTATTCTCGTATTTGTTGACAGATTCAGCAAAATGGTACACCTTGTGGCTGTACCAGAGACAATCACGGCAAGTGGTTGTGCATGTGTCTTTATTGACACCATCTTCCAACTTCATGGGTTTCCCTGTGAACTCGTATCAGACAGAGATCCACGATTCACTGCTGATTTCTGGCGTTCCGTGTTCAAATCACTCGGAACGCGCTTGAAGATGTCGACATCTGATCATCCAGAGTTAGATGGTCAGACGGAACGTGCCAATCGTGTCCTTGAAGAGATACTTCGAGGATACGTACACTCCTTTAAGAGTTGGAGTGAGTTTTTGCCAATGGTGGAGTTTGCCATTAACAACTCGGTGCATGCGTCCACGACACATACACCGTTTTACGTGAATGGCTTGCGCCATCCGCGTGTACCCACCTTACTAGAGTGTAACTCTGGTTTAAGGGGGGGAGGGACTCGCGCGAGCAAAAACCGATTCGGTTCACGCTCATCACGCTCTGACGAAGAAGTCATTGCGTTTGATGCCGATATCGATAACATCGATTTCGAAGAAGATGATGCCAGTGAGAGTGCGGAAGCCCTCACTGAAGAAAAGGTTGATGTTGCTGCAGTGCACTCACAGCGCACTGAAGCTAACGAGTCACCAGATGAGTTCATACTGGCTGGTAAAACGGTAGTCCGTTTTGTGCAAGATTCCATCGCTCAAGCGGTGGATAAGCAAAAGCAAAACGCTGACAAGAATGGAAGGGCAAACACTCTTTTATTTAATAAAGGTGACTTAGTCCTACTGTCTACGGTTAATCTACCAAAGCATGTAGTGACTAACTTGTGTAGCAGTAAACTACTACTCAAGTACTTCGGCCTATTTCGTGTATTGCACCGCCTAGGCAATGCATACACGATTGAGTTGCCACGTAAGATGCGAACGCATCCCACGTTTCACGTTGTTCGGCTTAAGCCGTATCATCAGTACGCTGCTTCTTGCGATGAAGAACGCCCTTGCGCTCAAGCATCTCGCAGAGAGCCTTGTGCTTCCGATGGTGGGCATCGACAAGGGTCTGAAGAGCAGCTATCTCATCCCGAGACCGATCAACAATCCCACGAGCTACCCTTAGCTCGTCACGAAGAGATGTCAGAGCTCTCTCGTTCTCAAGCTGAGCAAAGGCAAACTCAGCTCGAAGCTTCGAGACAGCGTCCGCCAGTTAAAGACGCCCGTCCCGCTCATGTTCGAGATCGTTGCGTAACCTTTGCGTTACGCGATCAAAGAAGCTCTCGGGAACACACGCATCCCCACGATTATGAGGAGAGCGTCTTCCCTGCTCCTCCACGTCCATTAGAAGACTCTCGCGGTGGCCAGCGCTATCTAGTTGAGCAGCTGTTGAACCAACGCGACGTGAACGGACGTCGGATGAGTTATCTCGTCCGGTGGCGCGGCTATCCCCCGTCCTGGGATACTTGGGAGCCCCGCTCCTAACTGATAGTTGACGTATTGGGTTTGGTTGAGCAGTACGACGCGGCACATCCTGTACCGCAGAAGGACCGCCGGAGAAAGTCTTCCCGGCACTGTCGTAAAGGGATTTCAAGTTGTCAGTCCTTTTGTACATCTCACTAGAGATACGTACGCGCCACCACGGGCTGTTAGGGAGGTAAGCCTCCTTAGGTGCTCGTGCAGAGTTGTTTACACAACATTGGCACGAGTCTCCCCAAGAGAGGCAGGGTAACCCTTTCTTCCTTGACAGACGATGCAGCTTGTAGCGTGCACCTGTCGGAGTTCGCTTTTCAAACTTATCACGAGCTTTGATAAGTTTGTCGTTCCAAGCGTCACGACCTACATCCTCAAGGTTATGGATGTAGGCGTTCCACGCTTGAAGCAGTGAGGGACCATCACGCTTGTGGTTCCCACTGTACCATCGATGCTTAAAGAAAGCACCGCTGAAGAATTCATGCTCAGCGCAATAGTTTTTCGCGCTGGGGTCAAGGTGATGGATCCTTGACGAATCGAACAATCGTGTTCGATAACGATCACTCGTCGTCGCCGACAAGTGATCCATGACGGATTTTGGAGGCATCCATGCCTTCTTCTCAGGAGCGAGACGCAAGACATTGCGGTCCCGCTCTTCCTGCGACGTGCCGACAGAAGTACTGGCACCTCGCTGTGAAGTGGTGTCCATAGGAGAACCGACACCACTATTAGCGCCCGAGTCTCGCGACCTCGAGCGCCTTCGCTTCGGCGATGGTTCATCTGATGAATCAGATGAACCAAAGATGCTGCGACGCAAAGCATCGTCCATGCCACGCTTGGCAGGCGGCTTAAATTCAATCGCCGTCGATACGGATCCGTCATCCGTATCAGGAGAGTACGAGACACCGAGCTCGTACTCTGTGAAGACACGAGTGTCTTCATGACCAGCGCCTGCATCACCAAGTGACACAGGCTGGGTCGCTTCAGCAACCGATGATACATCAGTTGCTGTGGTTTCTGCTTCGGCGTCCGCACAGAGACGTGCAGACACGCTTTAGGCGGCCTTGCTCGCGCATCGCATGGGTTTGTTAACCATGCCTGAATTGTTGGGAAGTGGACTCGGACCAACAAGTGCAAACCCTGTCCCAGATGATTTGGGACGAGTATCCATTCAGTCAATCAGTCACTAAAGTGACTGATGGTTAAGGGGGGGTGATGTAACGGGGTGAATCGTTACATAACAATTTATAAGAAATTGTTAATAGAATATAACCATAAGAGTTACATTCTCAGAATATTGTCATAAGGACAAATATTCTGTAGCACTTACGAGTAGTTCCTAATTGGTTGATATAGGCCATTATATCAACCAACGAAGACGCGCCACGACAGACGCACGCAATGAGTGGTGAGCAGATAGTTGATATGCACATTTGTATTCAGACATAGTTAGATGAGGATAAATAGTGATTTATTAACAGACATTAACTATACTAAATACAGTTCTACTTTTTACTTTAACTAAGTACTCGCTTCTTCTTACCGTCTTCCTCTGTACGTACGAGAGTACGTGAAGTTCTGAGGCACCGCCTTATTCTGTCATCAGAATAAGTAGCTTGTACTGTCACCAGTACAAGCTTCAGGGTGCCCCGTTACAGTTGGGGCATTTTACCGGTGGTTTACTTCCGGATTTATGCCGCTACCGTCTGCACGTGTCTATTAGCCTCGTTGCATTTCGCCGGGTCATAATTGATTGGTTACGGTGGGGCTTTGCCAAGGTCAGGCCTTTTCTGCAATACTTCCGAATAAGGGGTAATGGCTTCCCTACCATATCGACCCTACTCCATGCTCACCCTTCCTTTTCCTTCATTTTGCAGCTCCTTTTTGATCCCGAGCAGCCGCAGCGCGGCGTTATTGTCTTCCTTGTGGACCGGGCACAGGCAATGGAACCACAATGGGTCCTTAAGGCGTCCCGTGTAGTCCACTGTTATTTCCTCGCCGGCTTTTATTGCCCTCTGGGACACGAGCGACACGACAACCCTGCAAAGTCCTCGAAACCCAACATACTCGGTGTTAGGGTTGCAGGCGTGGGCGACAAACCGGACTTTACCGCCCCATGCTCTGCGCTTACGAACGCCTGCCAACCCCCAGCGTCCCTCGCGTTCAGCTTAATCGTGTGCGCTGCAACGGGTTGAGCGGCGGTTACATACGTCCCTCAATATTGACACACCACTGTCCCTGCGTCGATCGGATTCGCCGCGATCACGCTTATTCCTTGGCGCGTGACTCGGAGCTGTAGGTGACAGATTCGAAACCGGTTTCGGCACCATTTCGCCCCTACGGAATACGTCTCTTCTTCACAGAATTGTGCTTCGAATGCGTTGGCACACTCCGTGAGCTCGCAGGACCCCACGCACCCGCACTTCTTCTCCCGGACACCATCGGTTGGAAAATATATCTTTTCCGGGTTTTGCATCATATTCACCTCGCGGACGTCGGTGGGCCGTTAGACCGGATGTCCTTGTGGCGCATTCTCGATCGGCCATTGCCTCGTCCCTGTCGCGGCCTCTTCTTCGTCCTCTGCGTCTTAGGCGAGTCCAATCACATCGCTTGGCTCTTCCTCGCCGTCGCCTTCACCGTCGCCCCAGCCGCCGTCGTAGTCCAAAACCGCGTCGTCCTTCTTTTCGTCGTCCTGGCGGCCGGCCTCGTCCACCGCGGCGCGTTTTCTCGTGACGGCCGCTATGACGCTACACCCGCTCAACTTCGACTTCTTTCAAGGGTGCTTTTTTTTCCGCGTCCGCGTGATTCCGTGCCGGTCTTTGGCAATCTTGGCCCGCTTCGCGTGAACAGTCTTCTGTTCCAGCCCGCGCTGATTGGGGTACCCCTCGCGGTCCCTCTTCAGGCGGCCACATTTACGGCGCCATCCATATAGCAGACACGATCGCGCGTGGACGGCTAAGCTGAATTTAGCGCCGCTCGCGAAGGCCGCCCGCTCTGTCACTGGTGGGACCTTGTCACTTAGGGGCGGCCACGTAGCCGGCGTGTTGCTGATGTTGCTTGTGCCTTTTGTCGAACAATCGGCTGTCTCTCCATTGGCTCTATTTGCTGTCCCAGGTTCTTGGCTGTCGTTCACATCGTTTCGGCTTCTCTCGTCCGTTCGTTTTCCGGCCTCCTATCGGTTGCTCGGCTTTTCTCCTTTTCACCTTATTCTAGGATCCTTTTCCTATTTTTTAATCTTATACCTAACCTAGCATAATGAACATTTTTCACAGACAAAAGAATGTAAATTGCGATATCTTGCTCTTCGCTCCTAAAAAGAAGCTGCGGCTACCTCCGCAGATATTGTTGGCTCGTCTGTCTGACACGACGAGTGATCATAATCGCATAGTATAAGATTATTGGATTTGTTGAGGCTCCGCAAGCTCTATCCTAGTGCGAGTATATATCGCACTAAACATAAAATCTTTATCAGTGCATTCTTTAGCATCGTAGGCACAGTGAGATTACAAGCTTCATGGTATTTCGTCGATTCAGACGTGATAAGCTTTCAAACATAACGTTGGTAAAACTGGGCGTAATGGCTGGATAGACAAACCATTGCTATCTTGAAATCAGTTTGAGAAGCAAACCCCTAACAGAGCATGTTTATATCTGCATCAATTAGTGAGAGAGAACAGGATACCATGCCTATTTGTGGTGTGGCACGTACCAACATTATATGAATTACTTGGCACGAGCTCCAAAACAAGCTAACTTAATGTCTGAACCCAAGTTGACGTTACGTGTCACTCAAGAGATGCATTGGGAAATAACTGATCAGCAATTTATCCACAAGAGCGCTGGGCGTTCGTTTCGCGACAAGCCTCCTTCGGCATCGATTGCGCCTTGTCGTACTGCTCGACAAGGCTTGTATCTCAAGCAGTAGTCAAAAGCGAGGCTCCTTACTACCTGCCAAGGGTGAAATCCCGCGTTACTGGAAGAAGTAACGCGTTCGACGTCTTTTCTCATAACGGTAGTTCAACAAGTGTTTTACGAGGAAGAATAGGCCACCGCGTGCACCCGTCAGTAAATGAAGCGCAAGATGAAGCACTTTCTTGGACGAATCAGCAGTTCCAATCCGGAGCTGCAAGTGAGCTGAAGCGCGTAACATGTGATTTGCGCAGGGACCTCGAGCATGAGAGGAGAAGACGTCTGAATCTGGTCGACGATAAAAACTTTATATTCTCGGAACGGGAGAGCAATTGATCAGATTTTGCTTTTGCCCAGCTTGAGAATGAGTGGAATCAGTGTTCTCTTCGTGACGATCTAGTAGAAGCTCGTCAAGATTTATCTCGGTTTTGTGGGGGGATATCCAAACTTCAGACGCGGTCTAATAGTCAATACCACAAGTAAAAGTATCTCTTGGAAATGCTTGAGCGCAAGGAATTTCTTACCTTGAATTTTACATGTATTAGTGATATGGATTAAGGCAGCCGACTCAGTTGTCAGGATGCGTGCTCAGCTCACGTGACATTAAAATCTTTTATAAGTTGCGTAAGAGGCGCAGCACAAGAAGTAAAACGATAACCTTAGTGGTTACTTTTTACTACCCGTGGTTGTAACTATGCGTCGAGGTAAGAGGACAGTAATTTGGAAGACTAGGTCACCTTTCTCAAATAATAATAGCGTTTTTTTTATTTCTTTTCAGCGTTTTTCTTTTGTCGTTTCACCGCTTCTGCGAAGATCTCTTGCACGAAAATGGACAATTGTATCGCGAGCCAGTCTATCTGCTGAATAGATGTCTTTGGCTACATAGCACATAGAGCACACTGCATCAAGATCAGTATCATGGTAAGTAAGAGCAAATTTTCCCTCTTACTTTCCTCTTTTTTACAAAAGTCGACGTAATCGACATCGACGTCGTACGTAGTAATTTCTTGGTCAGTACGTGATAACTGCGTACTGATTTGGCGTTCGTCCGAATAAATCGTTCCATCATTAAACAAGATTTATACTCTATAGGGTTGAAATGCGCGGATGGCGCACGCCTCATACGTAGAAATACGCATGTGTCGTCGACCATGCACCGAGTTATTAATGACAATTTTTACAATTGCCAACGATTCGATCCAAAATGAAACTAATTAACATAACTTCGAAGAATTACTCAAAATCTCGGTTGGCATGTTCGGTCTAACCATATTTTTTAGGCTGGTCAGAGGTCGACATAAGTAGGCAAATAATGTTCGGAATGATAAGAACACGAGTCACAAAATTTAGCAGTGGATCAGAGGGTTTTGATCGAGGACGAGTTCACGTGGCAACCTGTTAAGAAAAAATTTCATTTGGGTAAAAGTACGAGCCCATGCTGATGCTTGATTGATTCAGGTACAGATACCAGGTACAACATTCCACTTAATCATTTAACGAACACACTTTTATTTTTGTGTTTAGCGGAAAATTCAAAGAAAGATATTATTGAGACCTATTTCCAGCATTCCGCCGGAATGGTCGAGGGTTGCAACGGCGCACGGACTGACGAAAAAGTCTTCGCTCGTTAAAATACTTCGCATGCGTGGACGTATTTACGCACGAACTAGTATTGGTGTAGCCCTAAAGTCGCGAGTGACTGTAATAATTTTCTTTTCTCTACCACTTATTGCATCAGTAGGTGCATAGAATTAAACATACATGATGCGTGGTCGCATTTCAGCACGGTCCGTTTCGACGAAACGAGGCGTGTTGTCGGCACGGCTCAATGCTTCAGTAATTCACATAGATTAAATGTTAATCTGTGGGGGACCGATAACCAGTGGCACGCTTTTAAAGATTGAAGGGATGGTTGCGAGATATGGTAAATCTAATGCGCCATCGTTAGATTGTACGCCTTGCATATAATATTTCATAAGGATGACGTAGGGCCACTCGGCATCAACACCGCGGCCGTGGTTGGACCGAAGTCGGGTAGCGCATCCGGATCAAAGTTAGTCCGCCGCAAAAGAAAATCAGCGATGATATTAGTCTTCCCGGCTAATATTTCACGAATATCTCATGCTTAGAGAAAATCGACAGTCATATCTCCAGTATATGCGAGAGGTGTGGACTGCTAACAGCCGTGCGTAAAAACTCATGGTCTGTGTAATCGATGTGTAATCTTTTTCCTAGCAGGTAAACCCTAAATTTCTATCAAGTCATACTTAACGGCAAGTAGTTCCTTGTCATGGCCTGGGTAGTTACGAATAGCTGGTTGCAGCTGAAGTCAGTGATATAAAAAGGAACGGCTTGGATCTTTATGCCTCCTACTGCATCAGTTTACATCTAATCGCAAATCACTTGCAGCGCTTACCACATGAAATGGTCTGTCTTGGTCTGCAATAGCCAAAACTGGCAAGCGTATAAAGCTGGCAAGCGTATAAAGCTTTGATTATTACCTACTAAGGAGCTAATGCAATCAGTAACCATGCTAAATTCTCTTTTATTAAGCGAGGTGGATAAATAGTCATGTTGGCAAAATTGTGTGAGTATTTGTGCAAATGCGCCGCTAGACCAAGATAATTCCGGAGTTCAATAACGTTGGAAGGCATCGGCCAGTCAGTGATCACCTTCGTCTTTTTTGGATCGGGCAGGACGCTTTACTTACCCCCGATGCATTCAAAAAGAGGGGTTGTCGCTGGCCACGAGTATGCACTGCTTGAGGTTGGCATACTACGTTTGCTCATGTATCAGTGTAAGGACCTTGCGCACGTGTAGTTGCTGAAATTTCTTATCTGTCTGTCTTCCATAGCCCGGATTTGGACGAACACGTCATTAAACTAGCCAGGTGCGAATTCCCGCACGAGTCTCAACAGATTAGTTACACATTCGTTGAATGGTGCAGTGACATTACTTGATCCCCCGAGGCATACAGCTGGGATTGCTCGCCGCAGTGTACAGGGTGTCCCGTCCATGCAATAGGATCTGATAGAATCCGCCCATCACTTCCATGGACGTATAAAATAGTACTTTTTGACAATGTATCTATGATGAAAACCTTCCTCGGTATCGTTGTTTATGACCATAAGATTGCAGCACTTTACATGCTAAACGTGTGCACTATCCACCATCCTAATGAAGCCTTTCACACATTAAAGGTCGTAAAATAGGTGGGGAAGTAGATTCCACACATGGTGCGCTGTAAAGCAATCGAAAAAGAACTTGTCGACATATAGTACTTGTTCACGAGGCAGTGTCCACTACTTCATGACACAGTATTTCGAGTTCGGTTAAAAACGATGTTGGGTCGAGTTTCTTGTCCTTTATATCTCACATTAACTGTTTCTTAAAACACGTCCTTGGAAATTTCGTCAAATTGTCGTCGAGAGGACTGTTCTGTGCGATTTTATATGGATAGGACCATACCGATCAATTCAAGTCTTATCATTAAGGACACTATCTTGTATTGATAAGCTACTAAGGATTCTTTCGATCTCATCCAATGTTATTGCCGACCAATTATCGGTTCGTACTCGTCTTCCGCAACAAATACACAAATTTGCTTGACTTTGCCACGACGCAGATCATACTAATACCGTTTCAGTTCCAGCTTTGGCGATTGTGTGATCTCCGAAGTTAACCTTGGAAGAGCACTTAGATCAAGCGAATTAGCGCCTGCACTTGATACGTCGTTGCGTAAGACGTTCAGTGTCTTTTTTCTTTGTGGGAACCTTTTTCGACAGGCTGCTGGGGACTAATTCCTCGGGTGATGATGTTTCGTTACCATATCAATCAATGCTTATGGAGTTTCTTCAATGGTACAAAGAGACTTCATTCTTTCGACATCTGCTGACGGTGGCTGTGCAACCACAGTCAGGCCCTTTATGATTGCCTCTCCAGCTGATCTATAATCATCGTTTTTCCCAGCGTGTAAATACATTTTATTCTTCCTTAAAATGTCGCTCGCTAGAGTTACACCCA